CCCCACTCCTCAGAGGCCCCAGGGACTAACAGACATGCGTAGTACACACAGACAGCATTAAACTGTCTTCTTTTGAAAGTTATTGTCCCATAATTCTCACAGGATTGTAGACAAATTGAATATCATGCGTTAGCGCGTTATGATCAATTTCCGTTTTGATTTTTTTTTCTTCTTATATTTCCAACCTGTTATCGCATTTCAAAGTCAAATTTCGCGCTGTCTGTCAATGGGACCTGTTCTTGTGACGTCACGAGTACACTTGACCGTTCCCGGCAAAAAAAATATAGTTCGTGGAAATAAACACAAAATCATCAATCTAATTTAAACAATTTAATCAATATATTCCACCGTGAGGATATTCACCTTTTATACAACATATTACTACATAAATTGTTGAGAGTTACATTGATCCATTGGGTTTTTTAATCCGGTAGCACGAATGGGTTACCACGAGGAATGCGTATTGTTATTTTTTCGTGACGTCAATAATAAGAGCGTACCCTAACCTTAATCCTTAAACCTAACCCTTAATGGTAACACATGCGTGCGTAAACAGAGTTGCTTCCCCTTTCTACACTTTGCCTTTATGATGTTTTATTGTTATTCCTCGATTAGCCGACTTTAAAAAAAAGTGTATTTTATCTCATTTTAAAAGCAGTATATCTAATTCTGAAAGCTACGCTCTTTTTAGGCGTTGCCTTTTCATATTACACTAAATATAGTGACGTTACGCGCGATGTTGGTGACACCTTGTGTAACGTAAAATGACGTCGTTTTTATCATATATGACGTCGCTTTTTAGACGTTTTATCATATTTTGCATTATTTTGTGTGACTCCCTTGTACGTTACGGTCGGAAAAAAGAAGAATAATCAACATGAGCTCATTAACTTTTTTTCATAATTGTTGTGAAATAAATAAAGTTTATAAGATGGCCGGGATTAAAAGGAGAAGCTAGATGTGAGGTTGTGGACTGGCTTATATTCTCAAAATCGTTTCCATCGGTTCAGAACGAGTCGGTTGCCCCATTTTTAGACTTGTGCTGTTCATACATTGTACCTCAACATGCTGTTTTGACTATACTTCTACAATTCTATTTAGTGATATTGACTTTAGTGTTTCCGATAATTATAATGATGAATGAAAGTTTACTCGAAATAATAAAATGACCTAACGATTTCTACTGATGTTTTACGGAAAATGATAAGCGTATAGTGCGATTTTTTCGTTATTGATCCCATAACAACAGTGAACAGTGTTTCATTCTATTCAGTCAAGACACATTCTAATTCGGTCAGAATCATTTTATTTTTTGTTCCGCTATTTACTATTATGCGTCATCAAAGTTTATTTTTTTGCAAAATGTACGTCAAAAACAACTACTGGACAAAGAGCTATGGCGGGTTTCTATGCCTATTTCCCCAAAGCTATGATCCGCTATAGCGCGCGCTTCCAACCGTGCACTGTTATGACGCATCCTCAGGTATTTCTATTCAGGTGGCTCTATCGGAATCCCGTGTCGAAGAATAGATTATTGTAAACAGACGAATTCAAGGCCATGGCTACTAATACATGCGTTTCACGATAAAGACTCAATAAAATGCGTATTTCGCGTTATGCTGTATAAAACACAAGATCGTACAATCATTACCAACAAGTTTGAAAGGATTTTGTTTTCATTACTACTGCCTACGTCATGCCGTTACTTGTTTTCTTAAAAACACACATCTTGATTTTGTTCTTCCTTTCCCTTGGAATGATAAAATTGCATATAGTTTTGGAATAGCATGTCTTGCACGTGTATTGCGCTCATAACTTTGTGCTGCAGTCTTTTTGCATTTAAAACAAATGAGACTGTCCTTGACGATGAATTTTCCCGCATGTTCGGTAATATCTTTGTGATAATAACACTTCATTTTTTTGCTTTGCCTTGTTTTTATTCTGACGCAACAATCCCATATATTTTGTATTTCGGCATCGTTTGTTTGCTTTAAGTTAATGAATAAAAATACTAGTGTCAATTGGAGGGTAAAACAATTCATAAATATTTAAAATGATGCCTCAACTACAAAGTGTAGCTGTACTGTACACGCATACAGGGATTTGTTGACATGATTCCAAAGAAGATAATTCAATAGGTATGTTATTAAAATATCAATAAAATGTTCTATTGATTTGAAAAATATTTATCACTTAATTAAAGAAAATGATCACATGCCTAAATATTAAAAAAAAAAAATGATAAAAAAAGGTGTATGTGTATGCGGATTCGAACCTACACTGTTCACATTTTCTGGTCACAAGCTAACTGCATTACACATTAGGCTACGTCATACATAGACAAAAATTGGAAATACAAACTGCTTTAACCCAAGAAACATCTGTCCCGGTTTAAAAACTTGATCAACCCAGTTTTTCATTATTATGAGCACTTTCCCAAAGGAGGACCACTTTTCCGTTACGCGATTTGTTTTTGCATTTTACATCACGGAATCAAAAAGTTTATTCAAAAGTTGGTCCTCGGATGGGAAAGTATTTAAAGTATTTTGTTAAGTCTGGGAAACCTCGTCTCTTTCATAGATATAGTGAATATGGCTATATTTGCAGTATTATATTAACAATACCGAATATCTCAACAGTTCAAAGATTCATATTCAATTGGTTTTATATCTATTCCATGCATTTTTGCTACTAAAGATTATTAACTCATCAATATTTGTTTCCGTTTTCAAAAATGCCGACTTAGGGAAATACGGGTAGTTTTCCGCCATAGCTCTTTCGGATTTTTTTGATTTTTTCCTGTTTTACAAGAAAACGTTACTTTAGATTAATAATATTCATTGTTTGATAATTTCGACAAAGACACATTACAAATACAACTTTTTATATCTCAAATATCTGACAATATCCTCCTGTCAACACAATATAGATTCATACCAAGCATCCTGCTGGGTAATTAAGCGTTGCATTCTGTTCATATGCCAATCACTAATCCCAATGAAACTGTTGACGTCATTTGTGACGTCATTTCTGCTTCCGTAAATCTTTGTTTTTAAATCACTGCAAACTTTACGCGCGAATTTATAGAATTTCTTTGAAACCTCTTACCCTGCAGATGTTACGCGTTACATGAGTTTGTGTGACGTTTTCGAGGATGTTTAGGTGAAAAATGTGTTTTAATGTTGTGTTATACTATCCATAAATACCATAATATGAATGAACTTGAAGAAACGTTTTCTGTGATATATATGCAAGACCACACACTTGTGTTTTTCTAACGAATCAGAAAGCACTCATTTATTGCGCGGACGAATATATTCACGAGTGTCACCAACATCGCGCGTAACGTCAGTGACTTCAGTAAAAACGACGTCATTTAGTCACGACGTCACGAACATGTTCTTCATATCACTACACCAATGGGAATGCTGTGAGAATTATGATCTGGTATCTTTCTATTTTGTTTGGTAAGGTTATATAGTGGCAATGCAAAGCAAATGGAAATACACGCATTGCGCCCACTAAAAGTATCGCTGTATTACATGTATTTGTTTTAAGAACTTGGTGTCATATTAACATCATAGAAACTGTTTTTTCATATGCATTCATTTTCTGCTAAATTTGAATATTATATAACACAACACGAAGAATTCTATTTCGAAATAGTCAACGAAAACGTCACAATAACTTGTGTAACGCGTAACGTGTAAGGGATAAGACGTTTCACAGAAATTCCATTAATTCCCGCCAAAAGTATGCAGAAATTTAAGAACAGGATTTACGGAACCAGAAATGAATGTAACGAGTACCCAGCAAGAAGCTGAGTACGAATCTATCGTGATGACAGGGGGATATTGTCAGATATTTGAGATACATAAAGGTACATTTGTAATATGTCTTTGTCGAAATTATCATTTAAAGAAAGCAGGGAAAATTAAAAATTCTGAAATTTGTGAAGTAATTGATTTTGACGTACATTTTGCATAAATTGAAACTTTAATTGGTTACGTTTAATGGTAAATTACTAAACATGAAATAAAATAATTTTGTCCTCATATATATGTGTCTTTACTGAATAGAATGAAACACTTTTCATCTTTGTTATGGGATCAATAATGAAAAAACCGCACCACGTACACTTTTCAGTTTCCGTAAAATGTCCCACTTAGGCGACGTGACGGAAGCAATTAACGTTGTATAGCAGTTAGGGTGTCGAATAGCAGTAGAAATCGTGAGGCCATTTTATTATTTTGATATCTCTCGTTGACTCACTTTATGTGATAGTGCATCTTGCGCAAGAATAGGTCCTCTACGTCAGCGGTCCTTGTCCGCGATGCTCTCAGCTTAATTGCTGCCTTCGGCTGTCTTTAGCCGAGCGGGCTATTGGTTTTTACATAATAGCTATATTTTCAATTATAGTATATCAGTTATATCTTCTTGTAATATGATGTATATGTACATGTAACTGTTCTGTTTTACTGTGTCTTGAAAAAGGAGCGGGTCGCTCCGAAAATTTGACAACCTAAACTTGTCCACACTGTTGGAATTACTTCTTTGCCCCATAAATGTATTTATATTACATTAATATACGTCTCTGTTTCAAGTTAAATTTAATGCATCAGTATTTTTTTTAAACACTACGTGGATAAAGTCAATGTACTTAGGCCCACACACAACATGTATATCTGGCGTTGATACTTTATCATTAACACGCGTACGGGAGGTAGGGTTAGGGTATAACTCTATATTGTCATACGCGTGCATGTATGTATACGTCTCTGTTACAAGGGGGTTACACACAATAATGCAAAATATATTAAAACATCTAAAAAGCGACGTCATATATATGACAAAAACGACGTCATTTTGGTAATGTGAAAATTGAAAATTAATGAGTTTTAATTTATTGTTGGGATTCTTTCATTATATGAGAACAATGATTTCTCCCTTTGCAAGTGATTACAGAATAAATGAGTGCTCCCCAAAGCTTATAAATCAACATGGCGGCCGACTGGGAAGGCTACCCACTACACAAATGCGTATTTAATGACGATAAATGCCGTTTGTCTCAGTTGATTCGTGTACATGATGTCGCACAAAAGGATATACATGGTAGGGCTTTATGTGTCCTGTCATTAAGCCAGAGGCATCGTACGTTCCGCCCTATAACTGAACTCGGTGGAGTCACTTCCCAATGTTTTGACGTTTGTCATTTTATGAATGAATCATACGTATGTAGGGTACGAGTGTATTTGATGACGCAACCATGATCGTTGTACTTATACAGTCGTAACACAACACGTACATTCAAATATTCTGTATATAAACCATCTGTCCTATATAATGTGGACATCAGTAATTTACTAATTATTATTCATCTTGGCAGTTCGCCTAAAGTTTGACATGTCAGCGCTATGCAGTCAGCTGTCTGGTCTGTCTGACTGTTATCGTACTTAAAATTATACAAAATAGCAAAATAAAAGTCACAGTGTGGTGATTTTGGGACATTTACGTCTACTTTTACTTGTTTCTTTTCATTTCATGTCTGTTGCCACCACTAGTAACTATATATATATATAGCTACTACTATACTAGCATATATATATGGTACCAGGTTGTTTCGCCCCAAATCCCGTTCGCCCTAAGGGTTGTTTCGTCCCAAAACCTGTTCGCCCCAGGTTGTTTCGCCCTAAAAAATATTTTTTTCTTTAAGTCATAAATATAATGTTAAAAGTTAAAAAATACTTATCTTTCTCTTGAATCAAGATATAATATACGTATAATTAGGTGCTGGAAGAACTGAAGCCGACAACGGACATACTAATATCCGGAATATACTGCACTTTACAACCAGTAATGTTGTTCTTTATAAAATGCACCTGTACAGGTTTTAACGTTATGGATATATAACGAAACTAAATTAATTTCTCTAAGTACATAGATACGTATAATATATAGATAAGATAAGGACATATAAAGAAACTAAATTAATTAATAAGCATATTAATTTTTATTGGTCGGTACTATCAAAACTTCGCAAAATGATCTCAAATTAGCAAAAAACAACACGGCCGTGCGCCGAAATCAAGTAAAGAAAACATCGTCACACGGCGACAATTATGTGTACACTAGTAGACTAAATGTGTTAACACAGGAAAATAACATTTTTGTATACCCCATTTTTGTTTCATTTCACTATTCTTATTTATCTCTAAAATTAAATTCAATATATGTTATAATGCGTGTCGGCGTGAAGAAAATAATGTAATCCGTTTTTTGCTTTACAATGTACTTAAAAACAACACAAACACATATTTTTTTTAATAAAACTGATTGTAATGATATGAAAGATTAAGAAGACTTGATCTGTGACTTAAAACAAATAAAAATGAAAAGAAAATACCAAACAATGTTTCGCCCTAAAAAAATTGTTTTAGGGCGAAACAACCTAGGGCGAACGGGATTTGGGGCGAAACAACCCGGAACCTATATATATAGTACTACTGTTTCTGTTTCCACGTTATACATATGTATAGGTCAGACTTGGGACATATAAGAGATATTAATTTACAGCTAATGTTGTAAGACAGGTAGACATCTATCCAACAGGAGCAATGTTAACTCTTGTTGCCAAGGAACATTATGTGAAATAAATCTGTGTAGAGTACACCACTTGTGTCAATGAGTTTATGGCAGATAGAACTTTCTACTTTTTAGTTCACACCTGCAGGTCGGGTGTCGGTTAAGAATACACCTGTTGTTATCCACTTCATAGACCATAAGAGGCGACTAATGTGGGAACCCCCTGCAGAATTCGCAATTTGCTTTTGTGCCCTCTACGTACTTGCGGACACAAAAGTGACCAAAATAAATCTGCTGTACCGTACCAGTTGGGATCTTATTATTTCCCTCTAATTCTAACTATCTTTTATTTCCTAGCGCCTTTCTTGGCAATACCTCACTTTTGGCTTTAATGTTGAGCGTTTACCAAGGTGAGGAAGGCAATGGGTTTTATCCCCAGGCTGAAACATACCAAAGTCCTTTAAAATGGAAGTTGTTATTCCCTGCCTAATGTTCATGAAAAGCATTTAGGGGAATGCAACAACTGGTTGACACTCGTTGTCAGTATAATGTCACCGGGCCTTCGGCATGGCATTTCAGTGAGGTAGCACTATAAAGTCGGCATAAAAGCACCAACATACACTGTCTCCAGCACACACTCACGCAAGAATGCATACGCAGCACACACGGAGGCACGTCCTTAAATGGCCTTATAGCTGTCAATAGGACGTTAAACAAAACAAAACCAACCTTTCTAATTTAATAACTGACCTTGTGGACATGTAGTAGTAGTACTTCGGTTATAGTTTATAGTTGTTACCTTCAACACCAATATATATATATGGTCTTTTTATTGGAGGAGTACTAGTGCGACCTATAGAAAACAGCAACTCGGACATTAAAGCTTCAGTCTTTTATATTTTATAGCAATGTTAATTGAACAGTGACATTTTTTACTGTACTGTTATATGGAAAAAAATGTCATGGACACAGAACTTGCTTCCTCGTCACTCTAATCCTCAGGATATTTTACTACGAAGTCTAATAAACATGAGGTTGTAAAATACATGTATCTATATATATATATCAATCTTTCAGTTAAACAGTCTTTGACTCAAAGAACAAACAAGGATCCCTGCCTATTTCATTTAAGTATATTTTCTTTGGTGCCACCAGATGAACTGTAACAGTTATGCCAATGGAAAAATGCAGTAGTCGGACCAACACTTTATTGACATCCCAATTGTTCAAAGAAAGCTTTACCTTCAGAAAGGTTCCGACATTTTTTTGTAGTTCGAAAATTTACTCACAGATGTTTAGTCACGATTTTAAAGTGAGTAGTTATAGGAATGTAATAAAATAATGTGCAGTTAATCTTTTCAAAGCTACCTTGCATTTGATTTTAATGCAAATGACAGTTATCATCTACCTGGTAATTGTTACGACCATATTTATGTATATATATATTGTATGTGGTAAACAAGTCAATGTTTTTTTTATATACATGTCAGAGGAAATTACATTTCTTTTACTTACAAATATTGAGCACTTCAATTACATCTAGAAAATTTTGATTTCGTTTCAGGTAACACACCCTTGCACCTTGCTGTTATTCTGGGGCATAAAGGTGAGAATACTGAGGTTTCTATCAAATGTGATTTGTTATTGGCCTTCATGTACTTTGTGCATATCAATGTGAAATGTATGAGGATGGTTAGAGGGTTGTTTTTACTTCCATCACCCAATTATTTTCCACACAGTCCTCAAATATTAGATATTTTAACAATTGCCTTAGATCACAGTGCCCTTATCTTATTACTGAAATTACCTCCCTTAATTCTCACCTCCTCCCCTTCTCTGCCTATATACAGTAAAACCTCGTTATACCGCCACCTTCTGTCCTCTGTGATTTTGGCAGTATATCAGGTTTTCAGTTTTAATGTTCACACACCAACTGAACTTATACATTAAAAACACAATAATTTACTTCAGAATACGTTTTTTTCAAAATTGTAATTTAATGTATCAAATTGTTGAGCATGAAAATCATACAGATTATTACCTGGTCAGTCGGCAGTCACATGTAATAATACAATGTACATACATACATAACATTCCTGTCATCGGTATACAATTTATATACCTGCATGTACTCGACTCAAATTGGTGGTATTTAACGAGGTCAAAATAGTGTGATTTTAACCATTTGTTTTGGGAATATCATGGCAGAATAAATGGCGGTATGCGGGTTTGGCGGTACAACGGGTGGCTTTACAACAGGGTTTTACTGTACATGCAGCATATATGTATATACAAAGTTTATGTAACATTACTAGAGTGGATGGTTGGTGTAGAGGATTTCACATAGATTGCCACGGTATGACCCCTTGGTCGGACGTGAAACAATATACAGTCATCTTCCAGACCGTGTTGGTTTTCTCTGGTTACTCCGCTGAAAATAGTTGTTTCGTAATTCTTGTGAAATGAATTAAGTTTACAACAGACAAATCTGCTACCAAATAAATGGTTTCTCTCCTTGATCATGGTTTCTCTCCTTGATCATGGTATCTGTGCATCATGTTTCAGAATGTCTACACTTACTCCTTGACCATGGTATCTGTGCATTATGTTTCATAATGTCTACACTTACTCCTTGATCATCGTATCTGTGCATTATGTTTCAGGGTGTCTGTACTTATACTCCTTGATCATGGTTTCTCTCCTTGATCATGGGATCTGTGCATTATCTTTCAGAATGTCTACACTTACTCCTTGATCATCGTATCTGTGCATTATGTTTCAGGGTGTCTGTACTTATACTCCTTGATCATGGTTTCTCTCCTTGATCATTGTTTCTGTGCATCATGTTTCAGAATGTCTGTACTTACTCCTTGATCATGGTATCTGTGCATTATGTTTCAGAATGTCTGCACTTACTGCTTGCTCATGGCGCTCCTGTTCGTATAAAAAATACCCAAGGATGGACACCATTGGCAGAGTCCATCAGCTTTGGAGACAGACAAACAAGTAATCATATGGAATTATTTCCTCAACCATCTTTACTGTCTGGTTGAACAGTTCTACAAGTTTTATCATCTTACATCACTACATGATTATCAACATGTGTAGTGCAGTGCCGTCAAATTTGTCTGGACAATTAAAGAAATATGTACGATGAATTTAACACACATGTATGACTTTAATTGCATCAAAACATGATTGCACAATATAATTGCACAGTTGTTTAAAAAAATCCTGATCGAGGATGTTACAAGTCATCACTAGATAATATAAACACACATGATAATGTAAACTAGTTTGAACTTCACATGCTAATTTATTTCCAGTTCTTTGTCTACTGAGAAAACTAAAACAACAGTCTCGAGAGTCCCTTGAAAATCGGAGACCGTCTCTTGTGCAGGCTCTACGAGATATAGGAGATTTCTACTTAGAACTGAAGTGGGATTTTCAAAGTTGGGGTAAGTCGGTACAAACGTTAGATATGTCAGTATACATGCTCAACATCAGTAAAAGTATCGCCAATTGATATGGTATACTCGCCATGTTGTGGACAAAAACACCCATTAAAGAAACAGAATCACTCAAACATCGCTCACATGCTACAGTAATGTATATACAACTGATAAAATATGAATATTGATTATATACTGTATAAAATGATATCACTTCATAGATTTACAAACTTACACACTTACCAAGGACGTCCAGTGCAAGAACTTGTGACTGGATGCAGATCTTGACAGTTCCGTGTGGTCCTGTCAAGAGGTGAAGTCACAGAGGTCCACAGTGACCAGAATGTGGAGGTGAAGTCACAGAGGTCCACAGTGGCCAGAATGTGGAGGTGGAGTCTGTCCTGAACATATATATACATCCTTTCCCTGCGTAGCGTGCAATGATTTGAATGATGTACTCAAACGCCTGGCTACCTATACTTCCCTACTTTATTAAATGTCTCCTGGCATATCTCATAGTTTTATGTACCGGGAGTGTACAGACTTATCCAGGGTTATAATAAGAGGCTATTTAGAGACAGGACACCAAACAACTTGGACAAAGCACAGGAAGAGATGACAATGCTCTAATGAGTAAACAACAGTTACCTCCCCTTGACAAACTATTTGTTACTAGTCTATGATGAAGGATAGATTTCTGTTGAGCATGTATCATGATTATTTACTCTCTGGATGGAATGAAATTTAAATTCCAATAATGAAAACTGTACAACCACATTTGCACATTTTATGGAGTCTTGCCCCTTTATTAGATATTAAAGTGTGACAGGCGTGATATGTACCACTTTGCAGTAACCTTGTTATTATTATATGCCCGTCAAAAGAATTGACGGGACATATTATGGTATTAGGAGTATCTATCGACCTGCCCATCTTTCTGGCCACACATTGGTTTCCACAAGATAACTTGCTGTCATTATCGTTCAATTTTGATGAAACGTGGTATGCAAGTTTGAATTTGCACAAAATCAGCGGTCTGTGATGCCCAGCAGACAGATTCCACATGTGATACAAGAGTCTGGCCGTAGTAGTAGAGTTGTAAATCAGGTACAGATGACCATGACAACGTCGTACTGGGTTGAACTGGTTCAGCCTAGTACGACGTTGTCATGGTCATCTTTACCTAATTGATAACTCTACTACTATGGCCAGACTCTTGTATTCCTTGTGGAATACGTCTGCATTTTCAAGGTCACCAAGGTCATATCTGTTAAATTCTTGTAACAGGTTGTTTTGAATGAGCAAGAGTACATTATAGGTATGGATATTTTACATGTAGCTTTATTAATATTACTCCTTTTATGTGCAGTGTTGGATCAGCATTCTCAATACACTGCTGAATATTACAGGGATGAGACATGTATATAGAGTGTAAGCAATGTGCTGAACCGTTATCCATAGTTTAGGGGCCAAAAGCCATTTTTTTTTTTTTTTAATTCAAGTTTGTTTGGAATATTTTTTACAATGCTGTGCAACTATCAAAGATTATATATCTGGAATAGAACTCTGTCGTAACATAAAATATTAATCTTCTCCAAGATCTTGGGAATATCTGCACATATGGGGATTCACTGTGTAATGGTTTCTCCCTGGGATGAAAATCATTTTTCTCAGGGTCAGAAACCCGGGCATTGTCTGGATCAACCCTTTGTTCCTTTCTCAAATCTACTGTGCTGAGTGTATCAGGTTGTATGTGTCACAGAGGGGTATGACAATAAACACTTCTACTCTGTCCTAATTTTTTAAAATTCTGACATGTCTTCATTATATTTCCAGTCCCTTTGGTGTCAAGAATTCTGCCTTCAGATGTCTGTAAAATCCACAAGAAGGGTTGTTGTATACGGTAAAGTTAACAGACTTTTTTTAGTGCATATTGATGTCACAGTTGAGAAATAAGTTTAATGTTTGAAGAAACTATTACAGATCATTTTCTCATAGAAAAGTGCACTACTTTAATCCTTTCATCCATGATGTTTCTCATAGCAACAATAAACAGCTAATAATCCATCCATCCATAATGTTTCTCATAGCAACAATAAACAGCTATTAATCCATCCATCCATGATGTATCTCATAGCAACAATAAACAGCTAATAATCCATCCATCCATATTGTTTCTCATAGCAACAATAAACGGCTAATAATCCATCCATCCATGATGTTTCTCATAGCAACAATAAACAGCTAATAACCCATCCATCCATGCTGTTTCTCATAGCAACAATAAACAGCTAATAATCCATCCATCCATGATGTTTCTCATAGCAACAATAAACAGCTAATAACCCATCCATCCATGCTGTTTCTCATAGCAACAATAAACAGCTAATAATCCATCCATCCATCCATGTTGCTATTTTGTTCATATAAATGCAATTGACCTGAGACATGAACCAATTTTATTAGTTTATGACATGTATTGATCTAATTAAGATGTAATGTTCTCATGGTAGAACAATTTTTCTCGAGTTTATGCCCCGCCATAAAATTGGGGGCATATAGTGTTGCCCTTGTCTGTCGCGTCGCGTCCCATCCCATCCATGAGCGGGGGCATTTATGTCTTACAAACATTTTCTAGTCTTACATATCTTTTAGTGTTGAATGACTTTTTCATTTATGGTGTACCCATTGGATGTAGTTAAAAAGAATAGACATCTGTGGAGAGAAAAATAAGATTTAATGACTACCTTAAACTAGATTTCAAAACCTGTTACCTCAAGAGCCCAGGCCTTTGAAGGGTGAAAGCTGCTATTTTTGAGCTGGGTGTTTTATAATACGTTTTACTACATGTAATTATATATATATATATCATAATTAACTAGAAGACAACTGACATCTTTTATGATGATGTCACAGCTAACTGATTAGGATTTATATCTTTTGGAGAGAGTTAATAAAACATTGATATAACTAGCTTATCTGTACAAAGATGCATAATAATTTATTTATTATAACCTTATTTTAATATGACAATTCCCCAAAAAAATGTTTGCATAAGGAACATTGATAATACAGGAATGTTTTGTATGTAAACATGTAATAATAGAAACCCTTTTCTGTACAGACTTGATACAACTCTAGTAGACTTCAACGACATGCATTGGGAGCGAGGGGACATTACTTTCGTGTTTAACGGAGAGGAGGACCCCCAGCAGAGCCTGACTGTGCTAGATAACAAACTGTTTGTGTTCCAGAGGATCCGATATGAGGTATACAGTACTAAAGGTTATTGTCTCACCGCCCTAAGTGGAAGCGAGACTTATATGGTGTTGCTTTTCCCGCGATGGCGGCGTCAACATTAAGTTATTGCGTTTAAGTTAATTTCTCTGAAAGTATAAGTGCTACACCAACCAAACTTGGACCATAGATGCATCTTAGGTTGTACATCTCGACCCATGCATCAAATGCTGGACGCATCCTACTTTTCATGGTCCATTGACTTTGTCAGCATCTCCATCAACATTAAGTTTTTGCGTTTAAGTCAGTTTCGAATTCTCTGATATGTGCATTGATGGTCAAAGCGGGGCATATATTTTAAGGACAAGGGAAGTAACTTCTACTGAATGTTAGATTAAGGCTATCTTTGTTTTGGGACAAAGTGTGTGTGGTGGGGGGGGTACATCCTGCTGAGCAGATAGATTAATAGTTATGTTTGTTTTGGGACAGGAGAGCGAGAAGGAAATGGATGATGAAGTTGACATCCTGATGAGCAGCGATATAATGGCTGCTCAGATGTCAACAAAGAACATCACATTCACAAGAGCACAGAGTGGCTGGCTGTTCAGGGAGGACAAAACAGTAGGTTGTTCTTCTTATATCAGCAATAACTGAACAAATCAAACAATAATTGTAGTTTATAGGTCAAAATTGTGTCCTGGTGTGTTTTCTCTGTCTGGAGTCAGTGCCATTGATCTATTGGTTTCCTTGGCATTGGTGTATTGAGTTAAGTGTCTCATTAGCAGCAGATATAATGTATAAGGTTGTGCCACTATGTGTATAATGTAATGCATGCTGAAGGTGGTATGTTGTTGTATTTGCCTTTAACACTAGTATGTGAAAGCATGGATCTGATGCTGACTTAACCCTTTCACCACTGTAGACCATAATGGACTCATTCATATCAATGCATGGTAGAGTCTACTGAAGTTACATAGGGGTGAAAGGGTTAAAGACTGCTACATGTTACTCACTGAATTACCGTGTCCAATGCACCCAGTCACATGAAACTGATAACGGCATCTTAACAGATTTTAATAAACTTTATACAAAGGTCAGGTATTACAATAGCTTTAATGAGTTCCTATTTTAGGGGGTCAAGGTCACTGTTACTATTCAAATACCTTTGTCCAACACTGACACTACTTTGCATGTGAGTGTATAAACACATACAGATATTGAACCAAGATCAGGGAAACACACAAATTATACTCAAGCATTTTTAAAGGGGTCAAACCATCAAAAATAATATTTCAGTTATTGAATGTCTATGCTGCCAATTATGTTTCCCTGCTATCCCCAGTTTTACCTCTCAATTTTTACGGGAAAGCCCTATAAAATATAGCACGGATTATGTCATGTTTTCATCAAGTTCATGCATTACCTAGTTTAAAAAAAGAAGAAGACATGTTTGTTCAATACAATACCTTAAACAAGTTGTGTTTCAGGGAGCCAAGGTCAAATTCAAGGTCGCTATTTATAAAAAAAATCATTGTCATCCCTCTAGCAAATTCGATCCTGCATGAATTTTGATCAAAATCATGTATTGGTCAATTGTGGGTTTAGATTTGTGTTTCTTTAAAATATATTGTTGTTCAGCTTCATGTTGTGGTCAAGTATGAGAATACATCTAACCGTTTTCTTGTACTGTAAAATAGGAAATCTTGAACCACATGCGAGGGGATTTGTATCGATTTTAAACCTTGTTTAATACTAAATCTGATGGATATTGATAGATAACATATAACATTATATAGCTGAAATCTAAACCTCAAGTTGGGAAATACATGTTAAAATTTGTTGTATTTCTTCAAAATGTTTTTTTTTTACAGGAAATGGTTGGTGAATATGAAGCGGATTATTACTTTATAAATGGACTTACATTAGATTCTAGAAAAAGGTAAAGCCAGGGGTGTAAAAATAAAAAGTACAATATATATGTGAACAAACATAGGAATAGGCATTAAAAACTGAAGTATTTATTTTCAACATTACATGTATTTTTAGTTGCATTATATATATGTCTATATATAATCCTGCCTTAAAGAAGGCAAACAGAAAAATATTGTCAAGAGTTTTTGACACAAACGGCGGCAAATTTAATTCTGAATTCTCCGTTGGTACTCCTAAAAAAAATCCAACATATGTCTGGACCGTTAACATGTTAAAGTTGTATAGGAATAGTTCAGTTCCCAACATCTTTCAACGATTAGTTTTTATCTGACAGGTTTCAATAAGTGTCTTGTTTTACAGGAGGGAACACCTGTCTCCAGAGGATGTTCAAAAAAACAAAGCCATAATGGAAAACCTGACCAAGGGAACATGGGACAACTGTGATGTAAGCTATTTATCATATAATTATATCATATCGTGTCACCAAGGGTACACGGGACAACTGTGATGTAAGCTCTTTATCAATATAATTATATCATATCATGTCACCAAGGGTACACGGGACAACTGTGATGTAAGCTCTTTATCATATATAATTATATCATATCATGTCACCAAGGGAACATGGGACAACTGTGATGTAAGCTCTTTATCAATATAATTATATCATATCATGTCACCAAGGGTACACGGAACAACTGTGATGTAAGCTCTTTATCAATATAATTATATCATGATACCAGACAGGGTTACTTCATACCAGACAGGATGGAAAAGTTGAGGGCCTTTCATTGATTTTTGCCATTTTAACAATATCTGGCCATTATGTAAAGTTTTAATTGGCCAACTGATATACATGACGTCACTGCTCTAAGTGCAATAATATGTGTGTATCTTCATAATAATTAAAACAATAATTCTAGGTTCTTATATATACCGCTTTATATCACAATCTAGTTCTTGGTAATGATAGGATGCACAGCTGTTTATTTTCTGGTCAAAATCAGCAATCATGACTAAAAGATTATTTTTCCCTGACATTTACTGTGCATCTTCATAATAATGATGTGATTCAGAGCTATTTATTTTCCGGTCAGATTCAGCAACATTATTATTGTCTTAAAGTGCACTGACTCATTTGTAAATGATTCATTATGCGCTCTTATCTTGAATAGAAATAAAGCAAATGATGGAGTACTTTTTGGTAAAATCCAATTCATAGGATAGATAGACTCTGAAATAATAAAAAACACAGAGTCAGTAACAGTGACACTAAGTGTTCAACTGACGGAATAGGGATTACTAGGCAAGCATGGTGACCTGTTTTGGGATCAACATTTTGTCATTTAAATTAACTGTCTACGAGCATGTATGTCACAATGCAGCTGAAGTGAGACATTATGAACCAATTTCTCCGACCTGTTGACCAATGTTGCCAGGTAATGATGATTTCAGAAGTTTTGACACAATGACACAACAAACAGGGAGATGTCCGTCGTCTTGTTTCCTTAATAATGATATACCGTACAATGATATACACCATTTGACATAGCTAGAATGGGTCACTCTAAAGTGCTTAACAGTATACATAGATATACAATTTATACCATCAATAAATCAGCATATACATTAATCAATACAATTTTGAGGAATTCGCAGGAGCTGCCTTATCAGGTGCTAACAAGCTACTAGTCCTATGCCACCTGGCTAATATCTCCCTATGTGTGTATGCCTGCATGTGTGCTGGAGATAATAATAATAATAATATACAGCATTTATATAGCGCCCTACATAATTTGTAAAATTACTCTAAGGCACTTTACAACATATGGATAATAGTAATGCTTATAATTGTGAAAACAAACAACAAAGGCTTGCAATCAGTTTCATACATTTAACAAGCAATGTGCACATAATTGAACAAATAAAAGGGTGGTATTAACATGACGTCTTTGCAAAGATTCTAAAATGCAGACGTGAAAAGGTGAGTTTTTATGTCCCTCTTGAACTTGGCCAGGGTATTCGACTTCCTAATAGCAGATGGTAAGCTATTCCACCACGTAGCCGAAACCCTCCCAAAGCATCTGTTTCCGTAGGTCACAGTACAAGATTTTGGAACACACAACAAAGATTCTGACTCCGACCGCAGTGATCTTGACGGCTGATACAGGGTAACAAGTTCCTGTAGGTACTGAGGAGCTGTTCCATTCAGTGCCTTGTATGTGTATACCAGAATTTTGTAGTGCAACCTGTATCGTACAGGTAACCATTGCAACGCATAAAGCGCAGGTGTGATGTACTCTCTCTTTCGAGTACGAGTAACTAGCCGTGCTGCAGTGTTCTGAACCCTCTGCAGACGACTAGTTAGTTTGTCAGATATACCACAGAGCAGGGCGTTACCATAATCCAACC